ATGTGTACGTCAAATCCAACTTTACAAAGTCCCTGATCTCCTCCAAATTCAATTCCCTTCAATGATCATCCCTCGTCATATGCCCAAATGAGTTTCCTTTACCCCTTGGATTAACTCTCACCGTTACTCTGCCCTTACTCAGGTGATAGTTAATTATCCAGTCCACTGCTATGATAATCTCATCATGAGGGAGATTACTGAACATATCCTTAATGTCGTAGGACAAGGCAATGACCTTCAAATCTCCCGTCATTTTTCGGTCAATTTTTCTACTCAGCAGTTCCAATCGTGGGGCTACTGTTGAAACAAACTTCATATTAAAGTGTCAATCAGATGGGATAGTGTACAAGAGATGATTGAGTGCTTTCGCAACGCACCTTCCCGTCCTTACCGTAGGCTCCGAAAAGGTTGGGCATATGGGTCTATAACACAATATGTCATTATGCTTAGGCAGGACATATGCTTCTCCAACTTTCCCCTTCCTATCCCATCTAATGAACTTTTGCCTCTGACTCTTCCCTCCTCCTTCATGCGATTCAATGCCATACGTTCAGTATTCCTTTCCACAACATACCCTGGACAATTTTACAAACAAATTTAACATTGCTTGATAGTACACCTATGGGCACAGAACCAGTGTTTCCCCTGAGTTCCTATCCAGTGGTGTTAACACATAATCAACCAAAGTGTCACGAACCTTCTTCACTTCCTGCACGTCAAGGTATTTATCATGGATCCCAGCTCCGGCTGACAGGCAGGCTTCGGTCTCCTTTCTGCAAAAAATAGTCTTCTGACCCTTATGATTAGGCCAGCTTTCCACTGCTCGTATCAATTCCTTGACTAGTAGCTTACCTTTATCTGGGTGAGAAAGCTTAGGAATATTATTCGCATTACATATCAACGGATGCACATTTTCTAAATCAAGCAATCAGAATTGCACATGACCTCCTATCCTAGGATAGGGCGAACCTGCACATGTGCAGGTCAACACTTCAGCTTTCGCATAGGCGCGCTGATTGTGTAGCATGTCCGCAACCAATGGGTTTTTTACCCAAACGACACGGACTGTGTTTCGTGCAAGCTTCTTAATGCAGGTAGGCAAGTTCATACATTCTATCTTATCATTCATAAGCTTCATGACCTTAACAATCCTTATTCTATCATCGAATTTCAGCTTAATCGTAAGCCTGGCGTTGAGCTGCCACCCAAAGACATCCTTAGCCGTACGATAGGGTTGCACCATGTAATCTGACCAATGCTTCAATGCTACACTCACGGAGCAGAGTCAAACGTTTCGGATACCGGAGTAGTGTGACTAAAAAACGACGATCAACACTACATTTAGGCTTTCATCTCCTCAGACGACAAAACTCCATAACACAGCCTACTTCCATTCACAATCTACATTCGTACAGCCGGTACGTCCTCCTCTCCACCTTGACAACACTATTACTGAACGCCTTTTTGATCGATTTTCATCCCCCACTCCACAAATTACCATTCTGCACCGTCAGACTAAAGCTGCGTACTTCAGTGCTCTCCTGGCTAGCAAGTAACTGAAAAATATTCACATTCCACTCATCCAACTCCTCCACCCGTGCTCTCACAGGAGTCCCACCATGAGGTTTCTGTACGAGTATCTTACTTCCGACATCCCGCCTCCTCTCCTGTTTTCCCTTTCTCCTGCGTGTTTTTCCTCGTTTACCTCTTTTTTGCAGTTTTACATTCGTATTAAGAACGAGGCTCCACCGCCGTATGAATAATTGCTCAAGATCACCCAGCTCCGTAATCGCGCAAGTATCTATAGGAATGAGAACATAATATTCTAGGTCATAAACTCTTCACCATCGATAGAGGTGGTTTTGCTTAAGGTCACGGTTGTACACCGACATGTGCTCCCTCCATCTTACATCGACACTTCTACTCGTTTGACCCACATATTGCGCTTTACACGTAGGTGACGTCAATAAATAGACACATGCAGGGGGATTAACGAAAAAATGGATCCCATAATTACGTACGAGTACACCCAGGAGTCCATACACTTATTGAGCCATCAGATCTGCCCATTTAGTGCTAAAAGTATAATAGCTACTGATCTAAACAATATTAACAGTTTATCATCTGACACCCCTTCTTTTCGAAAATCAATCACACATTTACAAACAGCCCAGAGTTCCTCATTCGTCCCTCATGTTCAGTTTTCCTCGACGTCCTCCGCAACATCCTCACGAGAATTCTTCTCAGCATCCAAGGTCTCCTTCTCACCTTCGTCATTATCTTCCCCACCCGATCCATACGCAACTTGGGTGGGCTTATCAGTAATAGCAAGAATCATTTGCATCTTCTTACCCCGGTAAACCACATCCTCGTCCTTGCAGATTTTTTTCAGATCATCAATCGTGAGATTAGCAAGCTCCCTCAAATTGTTCGTAACATACCGAAGTTTTCCAATAGCGCCAATAGTTGTCGGGATCTTCCTCCTTCTTATCACACTCTTTGTTGTTCTTTTGCTAGGCGATCGTTTCATAGGAACGATTCGATACCCGAGCTGCAATCTATCTGAGAGTCGCACCGGGTTGCCCGATATGCACCTTAAAGTGCGCTTAGTCGGGGTTTCCATGGGGGGACTGTTCCCTACTGCCTTCTCTGGACTCCTCTTTCTCTTATCCTTGATCGTCAATTCCCCCGTCTTGTTGCTCAGTGCTTCCACATCACTCTCTACGCCCTCAGATTCCTCATCCTCTGTTGAACTGGCCGTCGGTTCCACTGCCACCTTCATTTTTTCCTTTTAATTATTTTCAACACCTTGTCCAACTTATCATGCAGCTCGTCGCGTACGTCCCCGACGTACATCGACATCTCCATACTCATTTCTTTTCTCATCTGCTCCTTTTGTGCAACCGCCTTCCGCATGTCCGCTTCTTTCTTCCATGCCTTACGTTCCTCCTCTCTCTGCGCCTCTTCGGCTCGTAGCCTATCTTCTTCTTCCCGCTTCTTCTGTTCCAGGCTCTCATGCTTGCGCCTGGTTTTCTCTTCTCGCCATGCATGTTCTCGATCAACATGCTCCTTCCTCACCGTAACCGTATTCACAAGGTCCTCGAGCTGGCGCCTAATCGTCGGGTCTTCCGACACAGATCTTCGCTCCTGCTGGCGCGGGTTATGGTGTGGTGACACCGATCGCCCCCGGGCAGGATACTGGCTGGAACTCCCCTCATCCACGATCCGGGGGCACTGATTTTTGTAGTGTCCCGGTTCACCACATTCGTAACAAACAGGGATGAATCTCCTTGGGGGTTCTCTAAGCGGGTAACTCCGTTCGCTACTCGGATAGCAATCACGTCGCCCTTCTCGTCCCCCATCCGGTTGACTATCTCTACCGCGATCGTAGTAGCGTTCCCTGTCTGCTTCACGTTCGGGATCTCTGTAGCCTCCACTCGACATCTTCAAGGTCAAGCACACCTTCGCCTGGATATCACTCCCACCAGTTGTTCAATACCGTCTCTGGTCGTATAAGAGAATCAGTAAATCGTAGTCACTACTTCATGCTCACACGCACTCGACGATCCTCTCCAAGCAGGTTCACATGGGCCTTCAGCAGGTTATCTGTTGGTGTGTAAACAAACTCAGCATACAACAAATGAGAGCAGAACTGAGATAACTCAGCGTAAGTAAAGATGAAAGTAAAGCTGAGATATTACAGTACACAAGGTACAGTGATTGCATAAAGCCGGTGGGTAATGGCTACCCCAACCGGTTTCGACCGCCACCACGCGGTCATCATCAGGGGGATTCCACCTTTTTTTTTTTTTTTTTTTTTTTTTAATCTCAGGAGAACGAAAGTTTGACAACCATCATTGGACAGGGGGATTCCACCTCACATCGCCCTTCGTCAACTTCCCAGCATCCACCTTCCCACCTCGACTCTCGACCTTAGTAGCATCTCCGGAAATGCCGCTAACTCGAGTCGTGTCGGACCCTAGAGAGGCCATAGGCTTAGCAATCAACAATCTTATAGTCCTGGGTCTACCGTCCTAGGCAACCACAAAGTCCACAGAACAATTCCAAACAGTACCGCACAAATGCGCCTCCGGGCCAGTTCCCCACTGTCAACGGTTCAAGTCCCAAAAACAGACACAAAGTCCCTAAAAATCCACACAAAAAAATCACAAACTACCTCAGAGACCAAAGGCGCCTCCTGGTACCTTAGATGGGCAAGGCAATAATGGCACGAAGTATTCAGGCAATCCGACCCGGTACCCATCAGTACGTATTCAGGGTCGCTGGGCCCGACCCCAGGGCCACCCGTCACAGGGGTCAGAGGTCACATGCGCACTCGCCTATCTTGCACCTGGATCTAACTGAAGATAAAAAAACTACTAAAAACTCAAGGGTGAAAAACACCTACCCCTGCCCCTGCATACTGCGCTAGTGGGTCCTACGAGTTGTTTCCTTTATTTTTTGAAGTAGAGCATGGCCTTCTTTTTTTTCAAGTTTTTTTTCGGTAAAGGAAAGAACCCTGTGCGCCTACGGGTAGCTCCAGGCTCGGCAGGGTTGGGCATACCGGTCTGCCCAGGCTCCGACCCCATAGCTGAGGTTGGGTCCTCCTTTAGTGCTCGTAGTTCAGGTCATACCCGGCGCTAGGTCCCACTTGCACGAATTAAGAGATACTGACCGTAGATAGCAAAGATCAACGGCCCAAATCTCCTAGTTGGCGCAAGTGGGGCCTTGCCCCCGAATTTGGACCCCTACATGCCCTCTTCTGCAGTGGTCGTCGTTCGCCGCCAAAATTCGGCCCCACCTTGACACAGATCCGGATCCCACCATACCGCAGGCCCCTTGACACAGACCCCGATCCCACCATACCGCAGCCCCCTTAGGACTGTGAACTGGAGGGAGAGAGAGGGAGCGCTGTGGAAAGCTGGTCAGAGAAAGAGCGGGAAGGGGCAAAGAAAAGGGTCGCCGTACACACCGGCGACCGACGTGTGGTTTCGTACGACCGGTCGCGGAAGCGATTGTCATTCTTGGATCCGTTCGGAGCTGGAGCGTTGCCGGTCTGCTTGCATGGTAAGCTTCCCTCTGCTCTCTCTCTGTCATTCTCTCTCTCCCATTGTCTCTCTCATTCTCTCTCTCGTCTCTTCTCTCTCCTCTTGCTCCTCTCTCTCCCTCTCTCTCTCTCATTCTCTCTCTCATTCTCTCTCTCGTCTCTTCTCTCTCCTCTTGTTCATCTCTCTCCCTCTCTCTCTCTCATTCTCTCTCTCGTCTCTTCTCTCTCCTCTTGTTCCTCTCTCTCTCTCTCTCTCTCTCTCTCTCTCTCTCTCTCTGCCTTCATTTTCTCCTCGTCTTCCGCTTGCCATCTGTCTCATTTTCGTGCTCTCGATTCGGTGTTGTACTGCTTCTCTCTCCCTCTCTCTCTCCACGCCCGGGACTATACTACATTCCACAAGGAGTTGCCTTTGCGCTTGCTGCTATTCTGTTCGCGTTCGTGCCTGTGCGCGCTCATGTTTTCTTGTTCATCCGTGGGCAGACACACACACACACACACACACACACACAGAGAGAGAGAGAGAGAGAGAGAGAGAGAGAGAGAGAGAGAGAGAGAGAGAGAGAGAGAGAG